TCCTCACTGTGCCTGGTTGGAGACACTACAATATATGGCTGCCAACCGATGTCAGTGGCGTTCTTGTTGTCAGTTTCTGTCCAGATTGCCTGAGTGAATGTCTGGAGGTGTAGGCACCTCGGAATGATTGTGTTAAGCTAGCACTAAGTCCCTCCCCCATCCACCTTTATTCTTTTCTTTACAATAAGGCTGTCAAATAAGTCATGGTTGTACGGCAGTGAAGCATTGGTGTTGAGCACTGATGTCATGCTGTCGTTGATGATGATGACGCTAACTAATTTTCGAGTGACTGATACACCAATTTCCCCCGTAAATATGTTTTCAGAGGCGAGGCTTCAACTGAACCACAGAAATTTGAGGACTAATGTCATGCTGTCGTTGATGATGATGACTAGGGCTAATTTTCGAGTGACTGATACACCAATTTCCCCCGTAAATATGTTTTCAGAGGCGAGGCTTCAACTGAACCACAGAAATGTGGTTGAGGACTACCGTGCTCGAATGTCACAGCTACCTCTACCTCTACGTCAGAATCCTGGCAACAAAACACCGAATACGGCAGTGAAGGGCCAGTTCTCATATGGTTTTGCAGCCAGTGATGATGATGACATCACTTCACTGTCTGCGTAATACATATAATAATAATAATAATAATAATAATAATAATAATAATAATAAATAATCGTTCGGCTGTAACACGCTTTCGGTGCACGGCTGCCATAACACCCGATGGAAGAAAGAGGGCTGAAATACTGTTAGACTGCCTAAGCCTAGACAGGAACAGTTGGAATGGAACGGTTGGGTTATAACCACGGACCCTCCAGTCTGTAAGTTCACACTTTAACCACTGAGCTATCTTCTGATGCCAACTGCGTAGTGCACCAATGCAACATGACTAAGCATTTGCGTGCAAGTAGGGTTTTAAGACCGACGCGAATAGAGCGGGCTGCTGTAACGATCTGTGTACTTGGACCCATTGCACTACACACGAGGATTCGATGCGACGCCCACCAAGGTTCGCTACTGGATAGGGGTCTGACGAACATGCCCTCCTGATTCTTCATGCTGATGGTATGCCACTACCCTTCGATCCTGCCGTCAGGTTTGTGAGCCAAAAGCTAATCTCCGGTGCTTCTATTTCCAGAGCACCGGTAACCAGCGAGTCTGATTCTCCTTGGGTGTCCGCGTCTGTTTTATGGCTCTAAATTGATACTCATGAGCTGAACGGAGCAACGTCTTCTGACAATCCCTGAAACGACGAACGGATACGTGTAATTAAAAGTCAAGAAGTTCATGAGGTCGCCAAATCAATTACCACACTGGCGGCCATTAACTGATTAGCGTGAGAGTGACCCCTTCCAGGCGGTCGGTACGCGGAAAACCGGAAAAGAGATAGCACTACATGGGTATCTTCACAGTAAATCCACAATACCACCACGCACATTCGAAAATTCATGGACCGAAATCCTCGATACAATGGGCGAATAACAAATGTCTGCATAAGAAAATTCAACAACGGCTGCAACAACTACGCATCATAGTCTCTTGATTTAACAGGGCAACTAAACTAGACCCCTTAACATCAAACACTTTGATGTGTGAAAGTTGCCGAATATTCTGACCGAAACAAGCGATCCAAAAAAGTGAAACATGCGGATAGCTCACCTTTGCCTTTGTTCCGATGAAAGCCACCTCTTGCACCATCAGCAGATTGCGAGCGACTGCGAGCTTTCGCCAACTGTATATCCTCCTTGACTTTGTCGATAACATCATCCGGTATCCGGAGGTATTTAATGATACTTCCACGTATGTAGCACTCTGGCATCCTCCAAAATCGGTCACCATCCTAAAGCACTGATGCCGAATCTTAGGAAACTTACCCTTGAAGTGCATATCACTTCTTTCAAGTGTATATTCATCCAATCATCACAAGCAGCCAAATGTCCGTTGTATGTTTCACCACTCTTCAGCTCAACCAACTTTAGCAAGATGTAGCTAAGTGTGCCAGAAACTCACCATTGGAAGGTTGATAGCTGCCTTTAGTAGGGTTATGGGTAACTGAGAGTGTGCATAAACTGACAGAAACTGGCTTACCATTCTGAGCTGTGCTGTAGACAGAAGGGTGACAACTCACAGGTTGTGATAGGACGGTGAACGTAAGTTCTGGAAAGCGCAGATATTAGGCGGGTTAGTGTGATACGAATAAATGTGGAATGCCCCTTTCCTCTTATCCATATACTTGTACCAAAAAATGCTGTCGTACAGCGATGGAGGATTGTTGTCTATAGGTGAATGACACAATACAAAACACAATAGAAAAAATTCTGAGGCATAAAAGGAGGATTAACGGCCATTCGAAACGGGAGTTCGGAAAGACGACTCTCCCTTTCGTTCCACTGGAAAACAAAGTACATTACTATACAACTTTCTCACAAGATGGTCTTGATTACCGTTCCCTTACGTACCTAGCTTTCGAGACGTATACGTCCCTTCAACCGTTTTAGGCCTAAGTGAATGGGTGAACGACAGGTATCCGGATCTCCCTCCCTTTCTGGATGTATATATATATATATATATATGTATATATGTATATATATATATATAACCAGAAAATACAGAGTTCGGCTGTTTCATAGCCGACTGAATCTATTTCTACAGCACTTATCATCACCAAAACAGCAATTCGTACCGATACTTAATCGCCACACAACCATGAGGAATGGAGGCGCAGTGGAGCGCAGAGAAGACTCGGCACTCAAGGAAAACAATCAAAAGTAGGGTGAACAGCATGGAAATAAACACATCTGAGCATCACGTCAGAGTAAAGCGTCGTTCTTTGCGAGCCGCACCCGACATAAATCCAGCGCAAAACGATAGATAAACCTTAGTAAGAAATGAACGTGCGCTCCGCGAAAACGACTACATTTCATGTCTCATTCGGTCTCCAGGTTGGTCCGAGAGGAATCACTTGAGTCCCAGCCTAGAATGTGCACAGATCTCAAATCACTCAGTTCCACTTTCACCGCGCGTCGCTATATCGGACTGTCCCCACGAACCCTTCACCAACAGCAGTTTGGAGCGGAAAACAAGCCTTTCATTGGTAGACGGTGATTGGGGATGTGCAAAACACACCACAACCAACCTAGCATGATAAGTTCTATTGCTCTAGCAATTCTAATAGGGCACAAAGTACCCATTTATGTAGCACTTCACCGCATACACAATGCAACCAGATAACCTATGGAGAAAACAGCCACCAAACACTTGGATATATTGAAGTTTCCATGAAGGGATCTAAATTTTGCAACCGACACGGCTTTTACCCTTAGGCTAAGAGAAATCCATTTGTCATAAAAAATGAAGCGGACTAAGAATGATACCAACACCTGTCCAACCCGCTGGAAAAGCTACACTATCTCCCCAAGTTTGCAGTCGATGACGTCGATAACTCAAACAGTGTTCTTGTATCCTGTATCCGAGATTCAGAGGTGGAGCAGATATCAGCAGATTAAGTATATAGAGTACGTGCGGGGGCAACTTGCTGGGTGATCCACCTCAATGTTCACAAGTTAAAAGGTGCATCATCATCATCGTCACCTGTAAGAACCGCGTGCTCGTTGTGTAGTGGTTCTGGTTGCTATGCTTTCGTTCACCGATGAGTTGGAGAGGTGGGATGGTTAGTTGCGCGCTGGAGGCGGTAGCTGATATAATTGATGCATGAATATAGAGTTGTCAGGTTCATTGGGGAGATTAGGGGTGGGGCTACGCACTGAAGGCGATAGCTTGGATGTACGAGCGCCATTGAGGGCGCGACTGAGTCACATCTGACAACGACTTTAACCACTGATGTGTCCTGTCTCGGAGTGCCCATCCAAGGAGACGACAATAACCAGCACGGCTGAGTTTGCTGGTAATGGCTTTCATACTCACTGCCAAGTCGTTGCTTGATCTCCCTTGGATTGTTTTCACCCCTCATGTGGTTGTAATAAAAATAATCGTTCAGTTGTAATATCCTCTCGGTGCCTAGCTGCCATGCCACACGAAGGGGGCACGAGGGCTGGGATACTGTCAGGTCGCTCAAGCTCAGAAAGGGGGAGTCGAGAGGCAGAGGTCGGGTTCGAACCACTTGGGCCACCTCGCCCCCTGAAGACTTGGCCAAGCCAGCGCAACCTATGGAGTACGATTGGTTCATCCATCGTGGGTGAGTTATTTCTTCCGAAAACCATCTGACGTACCTCACCGATACTGATCCAATGTTCCAGGCAATAGGGGCTTCTGGCGTTTCCGATTCTCAGGTGTCTTACGGCAATACGCGAATCCTTGACCCGTGAGCATCAAGCGGGATTTCGATCGGGCAGAGGCCGCGTCGACCATATCTTCACACTCCATCAGTTGCTAGAGCAACGCCATATGTACAGACGACTCACAACCACGGTATTCCTTGACTTTAAGGGCGCGTTCGACTCCGTCAATCGGTCAGTGCTGTCAATCACAATTTCTCAACAGGGTATGCCCAAGAAGAGAGCACAATTTGGTCACCATGTTCACATACTTCTGGGAGTGAGAGTATGATGAGCCTTCCAAAAGCTTCTCTACAAAAAGTGGTGTCCGACAAGGATGTCCACTCTCTCCCATACTATTCAGATTCATCACTGAACGCCGAAATGCCTTCAAAACCCCAGTGTATATGTTGTTGCTGGTGAGGACTTTGTCGATCTTCAGCAAGCAGGCGACATTTTCCTCATCTTTGAGAAGGAAGTCGCAGCACCAGCTCTTCTGAATAAACTGACCACCACCATACCATCTTCATGCGCCTATCTCTACAAAAAGTGGTGTCCGACAAGGATGTCCACTCTCTCCCATACTATTCAGATTCATCACTGAACGCCGAAATGCCTTCAAAACCCCAGTGTATATGTTGTTGCTGGTGAGGACTTTGTCGATCTTCAGCAAGCAGGCGACATTTTCCTCATCTTTGAGAAGGAAGTCGCAGCACCAGCTCTTCTGAATAAACTGACCACCACCATACCATCTTTCGTCATGCGCCTAGCACCTTCAAAGTGTAGAGCCATGCTTCATAACGCACGGTCTCTGAACATACGCCTTACAATTCGAGGAGAATCACTGTAGGTTGTGGAGAATTTCACATATCTCGGTAGTTGTATGGGATCTGACGGAAAGGTGCCTGATGAAATTAGTGCACGAACTCCAAAGTTCAGAATCATGATTGATGGTTTGCGTCACTTGTGGTATCAAAAAGGCATATCACTGGGTCTCAAGGGTGACGTGTGAGATAGAGATAATCGTTCAGCTGTAACACTCTCTCAGTGCCTAGCTGCCATGCCACACGAACGAGGCACGGGGGCTGGGATACTGTCAGGTCGCCCAAGCCTTGACAGGGGAAGTCGAGAGACAGAGGTTGGGTTCGAACCACGGACCTTCCGGTCAGTAAACTAACCACTGGCGTGTACCAGGCTACAGAAAGGGCCGTATTGTTGTATAGTTGCGAAACATGGCTTCTGTGGGCAGACGGTGTGAGGGGCCTTCAGATTTTTGACCACCGATGTCTCATAATCGTTGCTGGTACCGGATGGCGTCAACGGATTAGTAACGAGGTGATTAGAAAATGGGTACTTGGTTGTGCAGCAGGAAACATCCAGAACCATCAACTATGGTGGCTGGACATGTGCTACACATACCAAAACACCATCTACTCAGACACACATTGTTCTATGTGCTTCCTTTAGAATGGCAGACAACGTATGGCTTGGACGGAGGGTGTAAAATAGATTACGAAGAGTTTGAACGTTGTTGTTGAAGTCTCTCCTCGTCATGCGCTTGACTGGATACATTGATGGTCGGTATCAATGGCTCTTGTGTTGTTAGTTTCTTTCCGGACTGTCTGATTTGGCGCTTGGAGGTGTAGGCAAGTAAGGATGCTTGCGATAGGCCATCACCAAGTTCCATCCTTCACTTGGTCTTTTCGCTTTTCATTATAAGAATTGAAATATGATCAGACAAACGTTGTGGTTGCACGACAGTGAAGCATCAGTGCCGACAGTGATGTTGCTGTTTTTAATTATGTTGGTGGTGCAGAGGTCAGGTTTATGACGCGTTTAATAAGATGGAGAACAACGCAGAATTGCAGACTCAAGTGTTTACGGATAAACTGATTTCACATCTATGTCACAGGTGATACAGGTTCTGCTGCTGCTCTGGTCTTCCCAATGTGGATGGAAACACCATCTTTTGTGAGACTAAGTGGACCGATACAGCTGACCAGGTACGCAAATTTGTTAGGCAAAATCCCATACGGACCCTGCGTTACCACTCGGAGTCACGTGATGCTCATCATCATCATCATCATCAACGACAGCATGACATCAGTGCTCAACACCAATGCTTCACTGCCGTACAACCATGACTTATTTGAAAGCCTTATTGTAAAGAAAAGAATAAAGGTGGATGGGGGAGGGACTTAGTGCTAGCTTAACACAATCATTCCGAGGTGCCTACACCTCCAGACATTCA